GAGAGAACCTGACATCCACCTAGGTGAGCTGCCCATTTGCTCCGTTCTCATGACCACACCCTGCCAAGGGACCCGGCCAGCCTCCCTCAGCTTGGGGTTATGTCAGTGCTGATGGTAAATAAGCTCCTGCTGCAAAACTGGACAGGAAGCTCCCATCATCTTTTTTAATTTAAAATATATATATATATATAATTTCAATTTCCTATTTAATTAATTATCAAGTTTATTAAAGGTAAATGAATTATACATATGTAGTTTGTGCTTTAGAATCCCAAACAACAACTAATAAATGCAAAATTACTATTTCTGAAGTTATTTTAAAATTTGCGTCTTCAGTGTCAATTCTGAAGGTGGTCAAACAGGACTGCTCTTTAGTCAGGAAGGATCGTACCTGTGTTTGTCTCTGTCCCCTCTTGGAAATGTCCTCCAAAGACACATAAAATAATTGAAAAGGCCTAAAAAAACAGGAGATGAGATGGCAGAATAGGGAATGTCAATTTACCAGCAAGTGTGGTCCTGGCTTAGTCATCAGAGAGAAAGCTGACCTCTAAACGTCTGCGGAGGATACTGATGTGGGTGCTGTGACGTTCAGCCCTGCAACCTGAAAAGGCTCAGGAACCACAGTTTTCTGTTCGGAAGGTAGGGATGGAGGATAGACCTGACAAGATCTTGTGGCATGAGCATCCATCCCCTAGAGTCTCTGTATCCAGCCAGCAGACAAAAAAAAAAAAGAGGATGGAGAATCCCACATAAGGAGTTATTATGGACAGCATGTCCAGGGACTTTCTGCAGATGACAGGCAGTGTCAGGGAGGCCTGAGGGCCCAGAATAGACTGTGGTTGGATGGCCCAAGATCAGAAAGTCAGCTCAGTGCCATAGGAAGAGCTAAAAAGTGAGAACCTTGAACTTTTTTTTCATTCCACTGATCTTGCTGTTCAGATCTTTTCTGATCCTGTCTCCCCATCTGAATAATGAAGAAAAAAACATCTGTCCTGATAGCCCCTCATGGTTGCTGAAAGGACAGTCTAGGCATGGCATTGGAAAGCATTTTGCTAAAACCTACAATAGGTTATAAATTACAGTGTGGTTAGACCTTGGGAGCCAGGTATCTGATTATAGAATCACTTGATTCCACTTTCTCAGAGGTTTAGTAACACACTGGTGGTCACTGTGGAGGAAAAATAAAACTTGGTGTCTTACTAAAGGGAAATGTGTTCTCATGGGCAGGAAGGGGTGACAGCCAGGCCAAAGACAAAGAGGCCATTCTCCTGCAGCCACTATTGGTCACTGACTGCGAAAGTTGAGATAGATGCAGAGCAGAGCCATTTGGGGCTCATCTCACTGGGTGATCAGATAACCAGATTCCTGGCATTGTGCCCCAAGTGGCTACACTTCATCCATCTCTTGCTGTGTTAATATCACAGCCTTGGGGGCCAGAGGAATGGGTGAAGAGAAAGAGAGGACCTCATTGACCAGCCATTTTCTGTCCTTGGCCAGCTGAGGCACCAAGTCCAGCCAGAAAACCAAACCCTGCCAGGACACCCCACTGCCCAGCAATGTGGGGTGTGATTGGTCAACAGCCCAGGTCCTTGAGCAGGGTTATGGTGGGATGATAAAGTGATGCTCCAATCCCCCAGTCAATAACCTGGATCTTTCCCACATGTGTTTATGCAGGGCTGGTGGGCCCACCCTGCCTGCCACAGCCAGAGCAATCACATCCCTACACCCTCCTCCATCTCAGCTCGGTGGAAACACATCTGCCAGGAAAACTCTTCAGAGGTTATCAGGAGTGACCCAGAGTGGGGAGCAGAGCACAGTAAATGAATACCTTTGCGGCTGGGTGTCTGGGCTCCTCCCCTGGGGCTGCCTGGCAGGGAAGGCAGTGCCAGCTCTTACTGGGGGAATTTGAGCCACTTTGCCCAGCCTGGGGGCAGCAGGAGAGAGGTGGGGCCAGACAGGAAGAGGGGAGTCCCTGTGTCTCAGAATCCAGCATGCCATAGTGCTGAGTGACCTCAGAGGGGCCTAGAAAGGCTTTGGGCCTCAACCTCCAAAGTGACAAAGGACTTTCTCATCGAGGGGGCTTTGGGAAAGAGTACATGGCAGTGGTTAGATGCCTAAAGTGTCCTGTAAGGTGGGTGCTTGGGATTTGTTGCTGTCTGACATCTATTGAATGGTTACTTTGTGTCTCCTGAAAGGTGGAAGGATCCAGAGCCTGCCCAGAAACTTCCAGCAGCTGAGATAGAAGATTCTCTGGAACTGCAACACGGCCTGCAGGGGCTTTTCCTGCTGCTGGCCTGGTGGGGCCAGGGTGGCTTGCCCAGAGGAGGCTCCCCAGTGTGCCTGTGCCCCAGCCTCCCCACTGACCAGGTACTGGGTTGACGGGTGTGTCTGTGTGTTTCTGCTTAAGGATGGACCAGACTGGTGTTGAAAGCAAGTGCCACAGATTGGCCTAAAAGTCTCAGTGTGGCAACCAGGCTGTCCAAACCCAAACTTAGGGTGCAATTTTCCAACAAGTATGAATATGACTCTTTGGGGGGCATGAGGATGATGATTTGAAATGAAGTCTCTGATTAAGGAACTCAAGGGTTTGTGATTGTTCCACCTGTTGAGGCCCAAGCCATGGGAACTGGATAAACTCAGAAAATGAACTACCTCATTGCACGTTGTGTGGTCTCACAAGTTCCTTGGCTTCTCTGAGCTTCAGAATGTGTCCAGCAGCAAATGCATTAAATGGGTATAATAATTATGTCCCTGGAATGGGGCTATTGAAGAATCAAATGAAACCATGCTTGTGAACATAACTGTGACTGTTTTTTGTTATTATTTCCATCTCCCTAGCTGTACAACCTTGAACAAAATTTTAACTCCTTGGGACTATGCTTCCTAAGAAATGAATAGGTTGGATTTGTAAAGGGTTTTAGCATGTCTAACATTCTCTGCCAAGACCCAAGAGGATGATCAGTTTCCTATAGTTTAATTAAGTGCCAGTTTTAGGTGCTGCACAGTCCCCCTTTCCAAATGTGGCCCCAATCTCCACCCACCCTCCCTTCCTGTTAAGAATATATGTGATTTTCCTGGAGGGTGAGCACAACTGTATTCACTGAAGCAAGAGCTGTGACATCAGATGTTAAGTAGAAATAGGGGCTGTTGGTTCTGTACCCTTTTACAGCATGTAAGAAGTTTCAACAGCTCTAGCTTCTCAGTTCTCCCAGTTCCTACTCATCTGCCCTAACTGGGAATAACTGGAAGTGGATTTGGGCAGACAGACATTTGAGTGTCAGGTCTGTTATTTACTACTGGGGGGACCTGGAATTTTATTTGACTTCTATAATACTGTTTTCTCATGGAGCTATGGAGCTATTACCTCATGGGGATGTTCTGAGAATCAGATGAAATGATGGCTATAATGTGCCTCGGGCAATAGCAAGTAGTTGTATGTGTTGTTGCACATTGTCCAGCATTCTTTCCCTCTGAGAGTTAAATTTTCATTATCGCAGCTGTTAGTGATCATAATGGGGAGTGAGGTCAACAGTTTCAATTTCCTTCATGCAAATAAAGGAGCCAGAGGCAGCAGCCCATTCAGGCATTACTGTGTTTTTCAGACCATAAGATTCACCTAGGATTTAGAAGAGGAAAATAGGGAAAAAATTTTTTTGAAGCAAAAAATGTGGTAAAATATTTATTAACATGAATAATATAATATTTCACCAATGTAAATGTAAACAGAATTTAACAGCAGCATTAAGATCCATATTTCTCCCAAACTTGATGAGGGGGGGCGGTGTGGGGAGGAGGGCAGAAAAAGTGTGTCTTATAGTCTGAAAAATACAGTAGCTTTCTGCAGCCCTGAATTTAGACAGCACATAGAAATAAGACCCCAAGCATTGCCATCCTGCTTAAGCCATTGTTCATTAATAACTATCTGAAGCATCTGTGAGAGTGGAAAGCTAAGTGCAGACATTTCTCAGTATTGCCCTGAAAGAGCAGTCCCTGGCCATGCAAATTACCACAGGTTTCCCACTGTGGGAAGGGCCAGTAAGGGCACCAGGTCTCCATGTCTGGTAACCAGGGTAGTGAATGAGCTTCTATTCAAGAACCAGCCAATAATCTCGGTATGAATCTGAGTGGAGAATGGCACAAAGAGGTGTTAGGAGAGCTCCACCTAACACGAAACTGGAACACTTCCCTAGGTTACAGAGTCATGTTCCACAGGCTTCTCTGGCAGCCTTCACCTGGCAAATATATTACTGACTTTAATCTCATGTATGGTTGGGAGCAGTGGAAAATAAGATGCAAAACCTTTCCCTCTCTCCATGTTCCTTCTTCCTGGCTTCTCTGTAATCTCCAGGTTCAGTAAACTTAATTGACAAAGAAAATGAGAAAAGAAGTTTTCCATATAAATAAAATGAGAGGCCAAGACGATTCTAATCTCCTTGTATGAGAGCATTTTGAATACATTATGTCATTTTCATCCTTTCACTGATCTCACAAGGGAAATGCTACGGTTAATCCCATTTTACAGATGAGGAAATTGAGGTGAGAGAGGTTAAATAACTTGCCCAAGTTCACACAGCTGCTATGTGGTGAAGCCAGAGTTTAGACCCAGGACCTAGTTCATAATCACTATGGGAATACTTCTGGGAGTCGATGAAAGAACCAGAAGTTTAAGAATCGGCAGTTTTCTAAACATGACCTCAGTCCACCAGTACTTTAAAGAAAGCCTATGGAACATCTACTACGAGCCAGCTACTTTCACATTGATTTTGCTTTTTTGTCCATACACCACCAACTAGGAGGCAGGTGTTTTCTCTGCTTTACAGAGGAAACTGAGGTTCAGAGAGATGACTTGGCTTCCCAGGCCACACCACCTCCCAGTGGTGAAGGTGGGCATGACACCTTGTTCTTGGGGCTCTGGGGCCAGTGCCCTCTCTCCTGATTCTGCAGTGGCCTGAGTGGCAGCTTCTGGTTGTCTTCTCTCTCTCTTCCAGGGAGGATTCACCATGTGCTCTGAAACGGGCTCCAGGTACATGGGCATGATGCTCTTGCCCTTGGCCACCACAGCCATCATTGCCAACCTCCTGCTGTACTTTCCCAATGGGCAGGTACTGGAGCCTGCCAAGATCACAGACTTGGTCTGGTTTTTCCATGGCTTTCTTGGAGCTGGACTCTTGGTAAGAGTGAGGTTTAGCTAGCTCACCTCCTTGAGATGAAGGGTGGTCCCTAAACACCCTGCAAGTCATAGAACAATCATCTCATCTTGACGCCACCTTTCCTGGGCCCCCAGAACATGGCTGGCTGCTCTTCCTCTGTACCCACAACATGGGATTCATAAACAACTTCCACATTGTACTGACAAGCCATACTGCAGGTTTCCTTCCTTCCCCCATTAGGGCTACACACTCCTCCAGTACAGAGTCCAAGTCTCATTAGTCTTTGTCCTCTAAGTGCCTACTCAGCCAAGTGCCAGCTGAGACTGGAGCTTAATATGTGGCTGTTAACTGCATGAAAGATACACTTTATAAAATTTACAATAACTGAGTATTTGTCACAGTCATCAGGTTTAAAGATGACCATTTGAAAGATAAATTATGTTACTCCCATCAAGGCTTCCCTTGCTGGGAGTTAGCAAACTTTTTCTGTAAAAGGCCAGATGGTAAGTTATTTCTGAGCGATGTAGTCTCTTGTTTTAACTTCCCAGCTCCATAGTCTTGAGGCAAAAGCAGGCATAGACAATATGTAAGCAAGTGGGTATGGCTATATTCCAGCAAAACTACTTGTAAAACAAGCCACTGGCTGGATTTAGCCCACATGTGTTAGTTTGTTACCCTCTAAGGTAGGCATTGAATGTTTTCCTTCCTTTCTGCCTTTGTTTTCATTTGGCTCCTCCTTTCCCAGTAGTCCCTTTTGAAAAGATCATTTGATTATGTGAGTAGGTGCTCAATAAATGGATGAATGCATGGGGCATAAAGAAGTCTCAGAAAAAGGTGGCCACTTCCCTTTCTGCTTCTGGTCCGCACACAGTATTAGATACAGTGATGTCTTAAGGTGCATCCACCTGCCCTTCCCATCCATGGCAGAGGGTGGGCCTTCCTGAATAAGAGAACATCTAAAGCAGCAATACCTGGGTCAAGGTCGTCTGTTTCTCAGCTCAGAGCTCTTTCTACAGGGCAGCATAGATTGAAGATTGAGGAGTAACAGACCCTGCTCAGATTATGAGTCTGCCTTGACACTGCTATTCGACCTCCCTGAGCTGCAGGGTAAGGAAAATCACACCATCTCACACGAAGGTGGAGACACTAAATGAGATCATGTATGCAGAGTGCCCCCACATCACTGACAACCAATAAAATGCAATCGGTCCTCTTCCCTGGTTCAGATCACTAGCTCTTCCACTATCTCTGTGGATCCAGCCCAGTACCCCATGGCTGCCTCTTCCCTTTACTGCCTATGTCTGCAGGACAGATTTGCATTTCTCAACTCCACCACCAGGAAAATCCCTAAACTCACTCTGATCAACTCTAGTATATATAGGAACATCAATGCCCAACTTCTCTCAAAATATAAATGAGCAAAGATAGTTATTATTGAAAAGAATTGAGTAACTTGAGATCTGGGTTTGCTAATAGCAAAATCTCAGAGAATTTATTGAAACAGAGTGCCTCAGAGGGAAAACATTCTCTGACCAGGAGGAAAACAGAGGGGAGCCTGGCTCAGTCAGGGACCTGACAACCTGTTTCCACAGCATCCCTCAACACCAGCTGGCTTGTCCAAACCTCGCTCCAGCTTTCCAACAAAACCTCTCAGAATCTCCTAGGGAAAAAATAGTTACACTGTATATTCCCAGTGAGGTGGGAATAACATAAACAGGACAGAACCAGTCCCTGAAATTACATAAAGTAAAAAAGAAAAGCTAGTCTTCCTTTCTCTTTTTTCTTTCTCTCCCCCCTCCCCTTTTCTTTCTTTTTTTTTTTTCAGTCTTTAGTGTATCCTTTGTGTTCCTATGAGCGTGGCTCTAGGGCAAACTAAAGCAGTGGCCTTGGGGTTGGAGAGGAGATGTTGTATTTGATCTGGGAGGTCTTAGGCACAACACTGTATCATTCTAAAGTTTCTGTAAAATGAGTATATCAATAATAGCTATCTCCTATGGTTATGGTTAGCATTGTATGGGCTCATGTAGAGAGCACCCAGACCCAAGTCTGCCTCATGGGTAGTGTTCATTCAATGGTAGCCATAAGAGAATTGGACTAAGGGGGAATCAAACCATCTTTGTACCTTGTGTTACAGAGTCAGATACACCCACTGCCACTATAAAGAGAGAGCTGATAACCAGGCAAACTCAGCACACTCCTCTCCAGCACAGTGGACACACAGTGCCAAATCCTAAACCCGTGGTTTTCCTTTTACTAGATGCCATGTACACCCCAGCTCTCATCAGGGTTTCACAAAATTTACACACCAGCTGGGAGTTTGGTGTGGTGTCTGTGTATTATGCTTACAGGGGTATCCAAAAGCATACCAGGGGTATGCTTTTGGCATCTCTGGGCCACACTGGAAAAAGAAGAGTTGTCTTGGGCCACATATTAAATACATTGCAACACATAATCACAAAAAAATCTCTTAATGTTTTAAGTAAATTTACAATTTAGTGTTGGGCCACATTCATAACCATCCTGGGCTGCATGCAGCTTGAGGACCACAGGTGGGAGAGTCCTGCTTCACAGTGACTTGGATACTCTGGGGAGGAGTATGTGCCCACCATTTCTTCACAGACCCCACCACTCCTTAATATATTATACATGTATATATATACATATATGTATATATATTATATTATTTTATTTTATTTTTTAACCTAAAATTACCTGCAGAGCCTCTAAAGTCATGTGAGTTTGTATCCTCATCCCCTCACACCTGGCCTCAGACTATCGTCTTTTAACATTAACCACACACCTGTCAAATTTTCCTCAACATACGTCTTAGTCACCTTGATGGGGACTGAGGACTAGCAATCTTTCAGATCCTGGCATCAGGAAACACATTACCAACCCTTTCTCGGGACGAGGTGATTTTTTTTCCATCAAGTTAAGTACATCCATTGTGTATTTATTTCCTGTTCTGGCACATGGTCCTGTCATGCCAGTACACTTTCAGCTACCTACCTTAGACTGCCAGAACAATTAGGGAAATGTCACCACACATTTCACCATCATGTCATTGGGTCTGATTCGGTGTTGGGCACTGGATTAAGAGTTGCTGAGCCCCATAGCTCATAGCCCATTGGGGAGAAGGGGAAAGCGGTGTGCTCAGTGCACCAGGACAGATTGTTAAGAAGGAAGGAACCATTCATTTTAGCTGGTGGAGGTCACTGAAAATGACAGAGAGGCGATGTGGTGTCCCATGGTTGCTGTAATAAATTACCACAAACTTGGTGGCTTAAAACATCAGAAATTTATTCTCCCACAGTTTTTAAGGCCAGAGTTCTAACTCAATGTGCTGGCAGAGCCCTGTGTTCTGTGCTCTGGGGGAAAATCCATTTCCTGCCTTTTCCAGCTGCCAGTGGCTGCTGGCATTCCCTGACTTGTGGCTGCATCAGGCCAATCTCTGCCTCCATTTTCACACACTCTGACTCTGCCTTCTCCCCTGTGTGTTGTTTTCTCAAAACTGTGTTATTGTATTTAAGGACCACCCAGAATAAACTCCTATTAAGATTTTAATTTAGCCTTGGTTGGCTGGAGTGTCATCCCATATACCAAAGCATTGTGGGTTCAATCCTGGGTTGGAGCACATACCTGGGTTGCAGCACATACCTGGGTTGCAATTTGAACCCCTGCTGGGGCACATGCAGGGTTGGGGGCAACTGATCGATGTTTTTCTCTCACATCAATGTTTCTTTCTTTCTCTCTCTTTTTCTCTATAAAATTAATAGACATGTCCTTAGGTGAGGATTTAAAAAAAAGATCCTACATTGTTAGTCATATAAGGTAATATTCACAGGTCCCAGAAATTGGAAATGAATATATATTTTGGTTTGGGAGGGGGCATTTGATTAGCCTACTACAGGAGATAATATTGAAACTGATCATCTGAGGGTAGAGTTTACCTGATGGTGAAGGTTGTAAGGCATATTCAAGGTCCAGGGGCACGAAAGGCCTGGGTCCATCCTGGAAGGTCATAAGCTGTTGTGTCAGTAGTTCTGAATGGGGAGGTGGCACCATGAAGTGCTCATGTTCACAAAGCCCAAGGCCTATGTTGTGCTCTACAGGCTGTGAGGAATCAAATAGCTAGACACACTGTCAAACCCTGTTGCCAAAAAGGTATCTTCCCCTTCATTACAAGAAATTGTTTTTCTTTTTTGTTTGTTTGTTTGTTTGTTTTGCCACAGGTTATGGTGCCAGCACTAATGCTGTTGAGAGGAGGTGGGGAGGGCTGCTGTACTTACAGATGTGGGGTAAGTTCTGTGGATGCTACAGAATGCTTGACGTTATTCCTACCCGCTCTCGCCCCCAAAGGGCTTATTTCCTAGGCCATGTGCTTTGGCTTCTTTGAAGGACAGACTGTGCACCAAAGCTCCCTTCAATGCACAGTGATATCATATGGGGTTCTAGCCAATAAAGGCCTTAGAAGAAACAATCTTAGAGACGATTTGGGGAGAGTAATTTGCAATGAACACAAAGCCGATGAGCTCTGGTAGACCAACCTGCTGGTTTGGTTGTTTGTGTTTCTGTCTGTCTATATGTCTGTCTGTGGGGAGGTCTAGGACTCTTACAACCTTTCAGTTTCCTATTTTCCTGGTAGCTAATGGGGTAACACATCATAGGACTGAGATTCAAGCAAGAAGGGACACTGAAGATTTACTGTCAAAAATATTTTCACAGGGATTCTCAAAATGTTCTATGAAGAACAAAAAGCTGCCACTCTAATAAGTTCATGCATTATGTGTTTATTTCTTGTTCCTGATCTTGTCCCCAGGCAAAAGCTGTCCATTTTTTTTTACATTTCAAGTTCACACACCATCTCATTTCTTTTTTATGCTTGAAAAGTTCCCTGTCCCAACCATTGTAGCTTCCAGTCAGACCCTCCACAGAGAACTTAGACCCATGTTGCCTGAGACCCATCTCCAAGGAGCCCCCTGAGTCATTCCATCAGCTCCATTGACCCCTACCCTCACTCCCTGTGGTAAGAAAGACACAACATGGATGTACCAGGAATAAAAACTTATGCTCTGAAACAAAAAAGTCCTCCAGCTTTGCCCCAATTCATTACTATGCTAATATGCCAGGTCACCATTCCTTGACACTTACCTTGCTGCGACACTTACCCAGCCACCACCCAGTCAACGTATTTATGGAGTTTGTACACAGTACAACCTTCAGTTGGTCACTGACTCAGGCATTAAAAAAACAATGATTCATTTACTTGCCCAACCATACAACCAGTATTTACTGAACACCAAACATCAGAATGGCAAATAAGTATCATTTAGAGTGCCAACATCAATTGATCAGTCACTCCATTTGAAAATGACCGCGAGGTCTCATCTAGGATTGGGGGAAATGAATGCTGAGGTCAATTACTGATGTGTACCAAGAGTGCAGACGTGGGGATTGACAATACACATACTTTATGCACCAGGCAGTGTGTAAGGCACAGGGGTGAGGGGTCAGTGTGAATAAATGACATTTCCCACTCACAGTTCAGTGGTGGATTACTTCATTCTTTAGAATTGTAACTGGGGTAGATAAATGGACACAGGGTGTCTCAGCTCCATCACCCATTTATTTTGTACATTTGGCAAGCAAAACAAGGACATCTACTTGGTCTGACATCTGCAAGAAAAGATTTAGATTCTCTTCAATTTGCCAGAAAACTCAGGGGATGCATCTTGAAAAGCTGACTTCCCACCATCTTCCTCCCCATTGCTGCACTGAATTTCTGACTCTGTTCCATTCCAGATGCTGTTCCCTGTACTTCTGACCATACAGGGCACTCTAGGGGCTGTGTACTGTGTGGTCATTTCTTCACTGGGTTTGCTCAGTGGCCCCTTGTGTGACACAGGCAGTGGAAACTACACCTACCCTTTCAGGAATGACAGCCTGGAGTAAGTACCATTCATGGTCTTGGGTCAGTGTCTAATATCTAACTATGATACAGCTGATGACCACAAAGAGTAAGTGCTCTCAGTATTGACCATCCAGTAATGGGGCAAGGTACTTTCATTCATACCTAGTGTCTTGTTCCTCTCTTCACAACTGCTCACCTGCTCCCCAATCAGTAATCTCCAGGAGGTGATTAGCCAAGGCAAGAAGTGCCTGTGAATTATGCAGTTCACCCAAGGTATTCATTATAATACCTGACTTCATTAACCCCAAGTATTAAACTCAACTGAGTATGTGCTGAGGGCCTGACTAGTTCTTCCTAAGCAGTCATAAGAGAAGGGGGTGTAAAGGAAGGATAAGGCAACTTGCCTATTTGCAAGTAGCTCACAATTGAACTGTGAAGATGTAATTAACAAATCTGGAGTTGAACAAATATCCTGAAATGGCTGGACCTATGGTGATGCACATTTAGTTTCCTTGTGGGATACAGAAAGAGACCCAACACCAATTGATTGAAAAAGACCCTGCTTCTCCTCTCATTTCATATTCTCTACCTGGCAGATTGTATCCATCCCCATGGGTTTTGGAGTCATCCAACTATCCATGTAAATGATCCCCAACATCTATCTCAAGCCTACATTTTCTGAATTCTTGACCCAAATATCTAATTACTTCCTTAAAATTTCCTCTTGAACATCTCACAGTATTTCAATATTAATATATCCCAAATCTTTATGTCCATAAATATTTTGTCAGTCATTCCAATCCTATTAAATGTCACCTTAAAGCCAAGTTATCTTTGATTATTCTCCCTTCTCACTTCTCATGTTAAATCCATTACCAAAACTTGACAATTCTACCTTGACAATAACCTTGAATATACATTGGTCTTTACCTGGTCTGTTATCACCCTGTTCCCAATCTCCAATACCATCTACTTCCTCTCCCCTAATAGCCCTCTGACAAATACCTGTTGGGGGAGGTCATCAAGAAGATGTGACCACTAGCTGACACTAAGCTGGACCCTGGCAATTGGAAGCTCCTTAGCCCCTTCCTTGTCCGTGAAATGTGTACACACTTGAATTCCCCACTCCCACAAACTATTCCAAGGCTACAGCCTGAAGAGAACAATGTGAAGTGGAGACTATCTGGACAGTATACATGACAATCCAGTTAGGGCCTCTCTATAATAACTTTTAAGATTCTGAAGAGTGGGTGTGGAGAACTACTCATCTTGTGGCCATTCAATGCAAGTATTGTAACTAAATTCCTTTGCTTGTTAAACCTGCCATCTACTAATCTTGGGTGGTCTTCCCTTTTCTTTAGCCTCTCCCTACACTTCCTCTGTAGGGGCTGGTTTCAGGTTTCACTTGGGAATCTCCTGGCCAGGTTTAGGAAGCAACAGTATCCCAGCTCTATTTAGTCTTTCAATCTTTTTGCCATATATTAGCCAGAAGGGTTTTATAAAATGTAAAGATGCTGATAAGGCCAAGACATTTTTACATTTAAAGAACTTGCAATCTCATTGGGAACTCAATAAATATGGATATGAATGTGGGTGAAGGTAGAATTAAGCACAAATATAAAATACAGGGTCTGGCATAAGTAATGCCTGTTTGAGTGTTGTCCATAGGGTAATAAGATGGGTGTAATAAGTTATAGTTTTAATTGGAACATTTCACCTAAAATGTCATATGGTGTGCTTGAGTGTGATGTTATGTACAGAATTACATGATTATGACTTTTTAATAAAAGATTTTGTAATAAAAAGGGGTGTTAATGTGTCGGGTCCTGCAGTTCTGTAAAATATGGCCTGATAACCAATTCCATTTGCTTTTCCCTCAAGAAGTACATTCTAATTCCAAAATTCCTTACAGTTTTTGAGCACATGCTGTTTTTTTTTTTTTATAATTCGTTGCACTCCTCTCAGCTGCTGTCCCCTGCAAGACCAGGTGACTCCAGCTTTCCCTATAAATCTTCTCCAGCTAATCTAGACCTCTAGACTTCTTCTTTCTATGATAATAATTATGATATAACTAAAATATATTGCCTGCTACATGGCAGGCAATGGGCTAATACCTTATCTAATCTTCCCAACCACGTTTTAGTATCAGTGCCACATTTTATGTTTTTATTATTTTTTTTTTGATGGCATATGACTATTTGGAAATGGAGTCTTTGCAGGTCACACTAGATTAGATGAGGTCACACTAGATTAGAGCAGGCTCTAAATCTAATGTCTTTTTAAAAATATATTTTATTGATTATGCTATTACAGTTGTCCCATTTTTCCCCCTTTATTCTCCTCTGCCCTGCATATCCCCTTGTACCAGCCTTCCCTCCCACCTGTAGTTCATGCCCATGGGTTGTACATATAAATACTTTGGCTTCTCCATTTCCTATACTATTCTTAAACACCACAGCCCTATTTTATACATGCCATCTATGCTTCTTTTTCCCTGTACTTTGTTTCTCATTCTCCCCCATGCCTCTCCCCACTGATAAGCCTCCATGTGATCTCCATTTCTGTGATTCTGTTCCTGTTGTAGTTGTTTGCTTAGTTTGTTTGTTGTTTTTTTTAGGTTCATTTGTTGAGAGCTGTGTTTGTTGTCATTTTACTGTTCATAGTTTTGATCTTTTTCTTAGATAAGTCCCTTTAACATTTCATATAGCAAGGGCTTGGTGATGATGAACTCCTTTAATTTGACCTTATCTGGGAAGCACTTTATCTGCCCTTCCATTCTAAATGATAGCTTTGCTGGAGAGAGTAATCTTAGACATAGGTCATTGCCTTTCATGACTTTTGATACTTCTTTCTGGCCCCTTCTTGCCTGCAAGATTTCTTTTGAGAAATCAGCTGATAGTCTTATGAGAACTCTTCTGTAGGTAGCCGTCTTATTTTCTCTTGCTGCTTTTAAAATTCTCTCCTTATTTTTAATGTTGGGTAATGAAATTAAGATGTGCCTTGGTGTGTGCTTCCTTGGGTTCAACCTCTCTGGGACTCTCTGAGCTTCCTGGACTTATTTCCTTTGCCAGATTGGGAAGGGTCTCCTTCATTACTTTTTCAAATAAGTTTTCAATTTCTTGCTATTCCCCTTCTCCTTCTGGAACCCCTATGATTTGAGTGTTGGAACATTTAAAGTTGTCCCAGAGGTTCCTAAGCCTCTCCTCATTTTTTTTTGAATTTTCGTTTCTTCATTCTATTCTAGTTGAATGTTTATTTCTTCCTTCTGGTCCAAATTGTTGATTTGAGTCCTGGTTTCCTCCTCTTCATAGTTGGTTCCCTGTATAGTTTTTCTTTATTCCACTTTGCATAGCTTTCACTTATTCCTCTATTTTGTGACCATTCTCAACCATTTCTATGAAAATCCACATTACCAGTGTTTTGAACTTTGCATCTGATAGGGTGGCTATCTCTTTATTGTTTAGTTGTTGTTGTTTTTCCAGAGCTTTGATCTGTTCTTTCATTTGGGATATTTTTTTTTTGGTTTTGGCACACCTGTTATGTACTAAGGGGATGAGTCTTAGGTATTCAACAGGGTGGGGCAACCCACCTTGCTGTGTTGTGTTGTTGTACATGGAGGAGGGATCTGAGAGGAAACAATGCCACTTGCTTGGCTCTCGCCGGCTTTCAGTCACTTTCTCTGCAACTCACAAGCAAATTGGGCCCTTCTGGTGCTGATTCGTAGGTGTACATTCTAGGTCCCTGTGGATCTCTCTAATGGACTTTCCTTTGAGCCTGGGAGTTTCTTTCACTGCTGCAACCCCCACAGGTTTCTTCAGTCAGAGGTTTTGAGGCTATTATTATCCCGCGCTGGAACCCTGGATGGTGCAGTCTGTCTCTCTCCCCAGTTTTTTCTCCTGGTTTATCTGCACAGAAATGTGGAACCACCTGGTCTTCCAGCTGCCACTTACCCGCCCAGGTCCTCCAGTTGCCGCCTTGCCACGAGTCCTCTCTGCCCAGGTTGCCTGTCACCACCCCTCCCACTGGTCTGGATGACTGTTTCTTCTTTAACTCCTTTGTTGTTGGACTTCCATACAGTTGGGTTTTCTATCATTTCTAGTTGCTTTTTGTTTTTAAATTTGTTGTCTTTGTTTTGGTTGTGCAAAGAGTCACAGTGTATCTAATGAATTTTTCGGACTGTAAGACACACCAGACCATAAGATGGACCTAGGTTTTAGAGAAGGAAAATAGGGGGAAAATTTTGAAGCAAAAAAATGTGGTAAAATATTTAATAACATAAATAACATAGGCTGCTGCTTTTCCCCATGCTGCCCCCACCCCCTGCGAGCCAGGTAAGCTACCTTTGGACTGTAAGACACACCCCCTTTTCCTCCCAAATTTGGGGAGGGATTGCATCTTATAGTCTGGAAAACACAGTATCTATGGCTCCATTTTGGATGTAAGTCCCTTTTTTAATTGATTATTTAGAGAGAGAGAGAGATCAATTTTTGTTGTTCCACTTTATTTTTTAACTTTCTTGACATTATTTATTATATATGAAGTTTAACAATGTTAAAAAATTATTTTATTGTTGTTCAAATACAGTTGTCTGTATTTATCCCTCTCACAATTCCTCCCCACTCACTGCAGCCATCCCAACCTCCTTCCCCTGTTTTCACCCCCTTACTTGGTTTTGTCCATGTGTCCTTTATAGTTATTTCTGAAAACCCTTCCACCCTTGTCCCCCATTATCCCATCCTACCTCCTCTCTGGTTAGTGTCAGATTGTTCTTAATTTCAATGTATCTGATTATATTTTGCTTGCTTGTTCGTTTTGTTGATTAGGTTCCAGTTGAAGATGAGATCATATGGTGTTTGTCTCTCACTGCCTGGCCTATTTCACTTAGCATAATGCTCTCCAGTTCCATCCATGCTGTCATAGAGGGTAGGAGCTCCTTCTTTCTTTCTGCTGCATAGTGTTCTATTGTGTAAATGTACCACAGTTTTTTGATCTGTTCATTTACTTATGGGCACTTAGGTTGCTTCCAGCACTTGCCTA